AGTTCAAAAGTAAAATCTGTTTTCAATAGTTTGCATTTTTTACAATTTCTTAAAATATTTTTCGATCGCATGTAAATTTTTTTAAGAATATACGAATTTTCAATGTTACGCGTTTTCACCAGGACATACGGCAGCCACTTCGCCACGCGTCAACGGTCCAATCAACTTTGCCTGCACACAGCGCACCTCACATCCTATATTCCTCGTATGGTATATTCTCGGTATCGTTCAGCACTCTTTCAATTTTCCACGCAATTGATCTGTTAGTGCGCTGTCGGCAAACTGGCTGTGCACAGAAACTATTAATGAACAGTAAAATTTCGCAGACTATCAATTAATAGTAAAAGCGCGTATACTAACTTTTTTTGCTTGTTGGCCACGTATGGGGCGAATTGATTGGAAAACGCTATGTTATAAAAGCTATTTTAATTTTCCAACGCTATAATATGGCATAGGTTTTTACGATTTCCAATCTGCTATTTGAAAATGCGATTGTTTCTACGAAGAATCGCCACGTTCACGTATATACGCTGATTTTCCAATTTTGGAAAAGAAAGTTTCGCATGAAACATTGAAAGGCCTCTTGTAGTTCTATATACGGTCAGCAGAACAATTCGATTTTGGCGTGAACTCACCGCGTTGCTTGGACTTATACGAGAAAAGATAAGTAGTGTCGAGAAAAGGAGCGAAAGAGCGGGAAATGGCGCTGGGACTAAATTGAAAACCGATAATCCTTCTTAACGGGACTTATCGTGGTATCCTGTTGTGCCCTCATATTCCAGCTCCTTATTGAAATCCTTTTCTTGCTGTCACGCTACATAAAACGAATTTTTGGAAGCCGCAGCAGTGTTTTCTCTAGCTGTATGTGATCGATTTTTTAAAATTGAAGCTCACAACAATTGACAAGATCACACGAAAGAAATGTAATATATATCACAGAGGACAGCAGAGCCATTCTTTGGGGTGGCCTACAAGACCTAGCCCCAGAGCTTCCACACTCAAAGAAACCTCGACAATTAGGAAGAACGAAATAATTGTAGACGAAAACTACAATGTCTTTTGAAACGTTAACTAAGTTAATTGTTTTCGTTAATATTCCATATTTATAAATTTCCGAATCCAATATCTATAGAAAATATATCAAATGGAACATTTCACGCTGTACAAATATTAAAAATTTATGCAATCGTTTCACTTAAAATCTATAAATTGATATACTTTATTTATTTGGTTTTGTACAGTGTGAGAAAGAAGAAAAATGTTTTACTTAAAAGCGATATTTATAAAATAGTTTTGGCTACTAGAGTAAATTATATAGAAAATGCATGTTATGCATATAAAATAATAATTTTTATGATTTTACTACAACACTTGACAAACGGAAGACAACCTCTCCTTCGTCGACCCAGGGCCTTTACAAAGTTATGGATAGCCTGAAGTAGGAGTTTTTTTTTAATTGAAAGAAAGAATTAGAAGATTAGAAGAAGATTCTGATTTGTCTGGAGGAACAAATCAGAAAAACCATTATCAGAGGTATTAGCTAAAGAAAAATATGACGTAAAAGTGAAAAGTCACTTGAGACTGCACAGCGAGTTTGGAATGGTTTATTTAGTAGCTTGAGTAATACTATATGACATCTCTGCACGTATACACATGCTATATCGGTATCATCATTACGTAAGTGTATACGTGATGCTTCGTATCGGAAAACGTCGCTACAGTGGTAATTAGCAAGTAGTGCAGTTGAGATACATGGACTTGTTAGCTAATGCTTGCACTGATATTGAATTCACAGCGCTCCGGTCCATTCGAATCCATTCCCAAAATAATACACAAATAAGCCATGCATACATGTATAAATATGAAGTAATACGTTTCTTTGCGAATTCGCCAAAAACATCGCTTCTGCCATTTTAAAATTCATAATTTGTTTATACTTGTGGTAAAGGACAAACATTGCAATGCTACTATATGGATTAATCCAATCTCAAATGAATACGAGCTATACTATTACTACGCGTACAGCTTCGCAACGTGCGAATTTACATAATTGAGTACAGGTATTAATAATTACGTTGTTGATATTCTTAACTCGGTCGAATAATTACACGTAAATTGTAGGTCTGTCTAACTAGTTCCGCGTAGGAAAAATCGACGGAAACGATTATAGAAAAGAAAAAGCGAATAGTGTACGTGTAGCGTACAAGAGATAGGCAGCAGAGCAGCAAAAGCGGCGATTCTTCGATGATGCCAGGCACGTTCTCTCATTCGTAAAATCGCGCTAGTTAAGAAAAAGAGATCAGATGGGACAGGACGGAAGGAAGTAAGTAGGCGAGGACTCGGAGTTGGGACTGTCGAATCGAAATAAAAGCCTTATCCAGGCCTGAGCGAGAACACCGAGGTGCCGGCTGAACATACGTACGCCATGTACGAGAAAAAGCCCATCCGCGCGTCACAGACACAATAAGGCAGAGAGGGAGATGAGCTACGAGAGACTCGTGCTGACTAAGAGCCGGCGCGCGCTCTGCAATAAACGCACCAAAAGTCGCACGCCCTGCGGATCTACTCTCTCTCTCTCGCGGTGCTCATTCTTTTTTCTGCATCGAACGACTGCCGCTGCAAGCGGCCGAGTGCTCTTGACTTTCGCTCCCGCTCATTCGTCATGTTCGACCTACTAGTCACTTCCGTCGCCACTCGCCGCTACACTGCAGCCAAACTCCTTTTCCCTGCAACCTCTGCCGCAGCATCGTCATTTTCAAGTTTGGACAGACACGCGCCCCTTTCTCCCTCTGAGCCACATATTAAAAAGCCGACGACTTTTTCTCAGCTCTGCCATTCATCTTTCGAATATGACAATCGCGCCACGCTGCACCTCAACTGTTTATTCATGTAGCAACGCTGTTTTGCTTAGCTCTCCTCTCAACGAGCACTAGCTCCAAATACAAATAGTTGCCGAAGACAAAGGCTCTTAGGAACCTGTGTCTTACCAAGAGTATCACGCTAAATTATTTGCTTCACTGGAGAACTGACTATTGTTCTCTCATTCCAATCCACGTTATATAATTAAACGTTTGGTAATAGCATTTGTTTTTATATATTCCATTTCGTTTTATATAAAAGCAGATTTCGCTTTGTACTCGTGATTGATAACATTGAAAATAAGTTTTTCTACGTGATGCGAAAAGTTATCGTAATCCATCATCACTCGCTGCGCTTGCTAACGAAATTCCGCTCGGCAAAACAGGGCAACCGCGCGTATCGCAATGTGAAATACTCGGAAGTTTTAGTAAATAATTAGCAATTCGTTGGCCGGCTTTATTCGTATAAAAAGAAATGCGGGCAGTCTCTCGAGGTTTCGCTAAAAATAATGGTTTCCTTTGTGAAGAGGCGACAGTAACTTTAAAGAAATCACACTTGTCAGCGAGTGTAATATTCAAATGCGAAAATTGTTATTCTCGAAGAGGGTCGCCGTTTTACAGCTGCACCGAGCGGAAAATCCTTGTATACGAGGAGAATTCTTCTTGCCGCAGAAAAACGTATTCGGCCGTATATATCTGCGTAGAGAGCACGGAGCTATTATAATATTTGCCCGAGGATTGAATCCGTTTGCCGTTAGAGCCGGGAAATGAATATGCATGATAATTGTCGCGCTAAAGGAAAGCCACGAGAGCCCACCGTGGAAAAAAGCTCTCGCTCGTAAGGTAGGCGAGGCGCGCGGCGCCAGCGTATAGGCATGTGATCGAGGCCGCTTGGCGGACCGCCGAGATTTTTCGCGGGTATTTTCGGCCATCGCTGCGTTTACACATGCGCCAGCCTATCGCTTTCTCGTTCAATTCGTTTCGGCTTCCAGCGCTATCCGACGGTAAAACGCGCTCAACGGTCCTCGCTCAATTTTCTTCCCCTTGATGCCCAATGCACTAGCTGCTTGATTTTTACAAGTTCAATGCACTTCACCCACCTTCGGTGCCAGATGTTCAATGGTATGCGCACGAGTCACGTGATGTTCATTATTGCTGTTCGCGTTAATGCGAGCTTCGTAGTTCAATGCTAAAGTACAACTGGAAATCAACACCCTTGTAAGGTGATTCAATTTAGTACTGATTTTAGCCTCAGTCTATGGGAATAAATTTATCTAGAATATTTTTTCAAGTGTTATGAAGTCATCTAAATGAATTCTACAATACTCAGAAGTGTTTACGCTCAGCGCCAGAATTTCTCATTTTATAGTGCGACAGGTTTATCTCGTTGTATATATACCGAATGGCCGTCATTTGAAATGAATATCATGGATACTGCTGATCTAATCATCAAAATGTTTTTAGATGTCGCTAGTATTGCCGCGTGGTTGTTGAATATTGACTCATACGTCTACTATATTACAGCATCGCCATTTTCATTTTTTCGACTTTGTTTTCGTTTATTTATTTTTTTTTTTAAATCGATTGCTCATTCATCTTTCTATTATTTTACGGATTGACGATCAGTTAACTTTTTTTTTCATTTTTGAGCAGAATTCTAAAAAGAGGGAGTGAAATTTGAAGTTAAGCTTGCCGAAGGCTTATTTCGAGCTAGGGTACTATCTAACTTTTACCTTAATAGCTAATATCAACCTTAATTTTCAGAAATAAGTTTATCTGACCAGAACATGAATAATATCAATGTATTTAAATTTTTACTCGTTCGGAGCTTGCAAGCTTTCGGTGAATTTTGTACTTTTTATTGTATATATTTAATTATAATTTTTAATAATAGGTTTCGTACATCCTTCATTAGTCTATTAGACTATTAAGATCATTTTCTTGCAATTTTCAAAAGTATAGGCTACCATAAGCATGAGAATTAAGCCGATAATTATGTATACACTTCTCTTTCAATAAAGTTTATCAGAAACAAACTCCCGTTACTTGCATCTCTTTTCATCGTGATTAGGGATGCATAACGCGGGATGGCTTTGCGAGGTTAAATAAAAGTTTCTCGAAAAAAAAAATGGATTTGCTCACCTTGATAGTTGGGGCAGCGTTGAAACAAAAGAAGAGAGAAATACGCATCAACAATTCCTTTTGGGCAAGCTTTGGGCTGGGTCAAACTGCAGATAAGAGGCGATTGAGATTTGCGAGTCGACCGTACAAACTTACAGTGTATGAGAGGAAACGAGGTTTCCGCAGAAAACTCGAAATCGAAAATACATCGCGTAAGAACGACTCAAGAGAGAGAAAGAGAGAGAGAGAGAGAGAGAGCAAAGCGCGTGTCGGTCGCTATGCTCCGCGGCCTCGTCCGCGATTCTTGCAAGCACGTGGTGTACGACGAAAATACGCTATAAGGAACGGCAGCTGCTGCGGGTGCGTCGCCGTCACCTCTCGCGCCACTATTTTGTACTTGTAGCAAGCCGAAGAGTAGAGTTCTTCGACGCGTCGCGCACGGAGTTTGCTCGCCGACTGACTGCTCGTAACCGGCGACCAAGTTCGCTCGGCTTTCGAACGTTGTCCCATCAGTGGCGCCGCGTCGCGCGCGAAGCTTGCGACGGTCGGCGCCACCCGCTCTGCCCGATTTAATGAACCACCACCAGCGCAAAATTCACTTCTTTCTTCGAATTTCCCATGCGACAAGCAGACGCTACTCTTTCTCTTCATCCTGTCTTCGCTTTCTCTTTTCTATATTCTTTTTTTTACAACTGTGTAACGCTTTCTCGTGTCGATGAAATTTTCGGTCGCCGCGACTGGTTACCTAGAATTCTTGATATTTTATTACATATTTTAAAGTCTAAAAAAAGCTAGTTCAAAGGGTAACAAATCCAATGAGATCAACCACATTAAAGAATAATTCTTTTATCTTATAAAAAAGAGAAGTGACTTTCTACGTTATAAAGAAGAGAATTTTTTTTTCTTATAAAAAAGAGAACCTGTCAAAGCGAAGCCAGTTTATTCGCGATCTGATTGACTGAGTGATAATCATGTGATCAGTTATGAGATAAAATATGTTGTCTATGCTTATGAAAAATTACTGCAGATTTTCGTAGACAATTAAATCGAAAAGTGTATCAGAATAGTTGGCATGCATTTGCTATGAATTGATTGATTTAATCATACTACCCTCAAAATAATGATCGACTAATACCTTGATAATGACATTAATTTAACTTTGCTCTAGTCGAAAATTTAGGTTTAAATAAATAAAGTAGACAATAAAAGATATAAATCGATAGATTATTACAATAAAATGTTGTACAGTGGTTTTGGCTTTATTAAGTTACGTAAAATATTAGAAAATTTTTTTGAGAAGGCATTAATTACAACCATGTATAAAGTCTATACATTATTTACATCGTGAAAGATATGATTATAAAAAACTAAAATGTTTTTAAAACTTATAATACATTTTTTATCGTGTTTATCAAATTTTTGACTGATGATTTTGCAACATAGAACTCGAAATGATGAAAACTTAAAACTTCATTGAACATTTTTAAATCATGAGTGTCATCGTAACATCGTATATTTACTTTATCTATATTATATATATTATAATAAATAATATCGTCGACTTTATCTCATATTTAATCTAGGGAATGTTCAATGTATATTTAATGTTCAAATTTTTAATTTCGTTAATAAAACTTTTGATCTATATTCGTGCATTAAAATGAATACGAAAAGAAGACGAAGAAGATGAGCGCACGTGGCGCGCTAAACATAACTTGTTTCATAAAAGCGGAAAAAGCTCAAGCTTAAATCATTTAAAATCAAACAGTTGATTTTAAGTTAGATGTATCTAATAATACCAGACTGCTTTGCAAACAGTTTTGCTTTGCAAAATATAAGACCAAAAATGAATTTACAAAACTTTTTATTTCGAAATGAATCATCGTACGTCCAATTGTCTGTCTCAAGTTAACACTCTCTCAAGCAAACTACTTTTTTTAGCATTGGAAAGTGAATGTCAAATTATGTGACTTAAAAAACGAGTTTCTATATTAACTGTGGAAACGTATAAAATTTCAATAAAATAATTTCAATTATTACAAAATAGTAAAACTGTTTATTCAACTTGAAAATAATACGTTTCTCGTTAATCTATGAAAAAAAAAACTTATTTATACTTAGGTTCTTTTACTCGATAGTTAGTTTTGTCGAAATTAATATTCTATGCAAGACAATCATTATATTTATGAGTCAGAGAACCGAAAATCAGCAGCAACGTTGCTAAATTAAAAAATATCTTTCATAATTCACATATCAAAAATCACTATTACAAATTGAAGTTGAGGCATAACCAATGGGTAATAAAGTACAATGATATATTTTGGTCATACGAGGTTGAAATCACTTACTTGCACATGTTTTGTTTTTTGACTCGACATGTGTGCGAAACGAGATTTGAAGCACGCTTGTTTTCCTGAATCTGCATAAATCGAGTCGATAAACTCTTATCTCCTGGTCACAAATATTAAAGTGAATTCACCACTCGGATCATTTAGAAATTATTTGAAAATTCAAAAAATATAAAAGCCAAGATGTACAAGAAGCCCTTTGGATTAGAATAAAAAAATACTTTTGCGTATATTCTGAAGCTTAAGGCCGTAAATTAAAACGTGACTTTCTACGTTAATGATAAGTTTTTAAATGCCCCTAAAAGAGTTCCGCAGGTCTCAGTCCATATTTTGGAAAAATCTTTGAAAAAATCTTTTTATCGCGATCCACATATTCTAAGTATAGATCCTTAAATCTACGACTTTTTTAAGTATTTGTATAAAATACTTTTAGGAGTTCCAAAAAAGTATTTTCTTATACAGATCTTTAACCACTTATATACGGATACCTTTAAACAATATTAAATTAAAACAGTATGAAAACCAGGTGAAACTTGATCGAACGAATAATCGAAATAAGTATTAGCTGTATTAATCGAAAAACTTTGATTTTTTATGAGTGCCTATGTACTCAAAAAAATACGATCTTATGTTTTGTATAGTACCTGTATTGTCCAGCACATTATTACATGCAGCTTAAAACATATTTCATAGATATTTTTATCTAAATAATTTTTTTTCATTAAAACAAAGGCTCTTTTATAAAAACAAACTTTTGAATCGCCGTTGAAGCTGATCAATGTGACATTGAATAATTAAAGGGATGTATTAAAAAGTTGAAGTTTTATTGAAATTGAATAGTTACAAGGCATTAAGAATGCATGCATATATTTTATACAGAGGCTACTTAACAACTGACTCTAGAAATGCTCTTGTCGCTCCTCACTTTTGCTCAGCTTGCACTTCCGCGTGGAAAAAGTTGGCCTCTTGTACAAAAAACAATTCTAGCTCGAGTGGAATCGTTTTATTGCAAAAGAATTCTGCTTGTAATAAAAACATCTTCCTCTGGCAAAAAGATAATCTTATAAAAAGAATATTTTCTCTTGTTACCAAAAAATATTTTTTTCAAGTACGCGATTTTCTTCTTTTTATAATTTCTTTAGACATCCAGTCCCAACTAATAAAAACATGCTTATAAAAAAAAACGGACATGCTCTTTTTCTTTTCTAACTAAAAGATTCAAATGGCATCGAAAACACTTGACACTCTTTATACGCATTTTCTGACTTTCCTGTATTCTCTATCACATACAATGTACAGCAATACTCTAAAAACATACCAAGATATAATATTGAATTAAAAAATATATGTTAGTTATATATCTACTATTTTCAATAATTACATTCGAATTTTCGAATTCCTTTACACCGAAATTATAAATCGCTAAATTTTCGACTTTAAATTCATACGAGCTGGTTTCCGATTACAATGTGCATGTGAATCGAAACTGAAATCAAGATATAAAATACAATAATATATACTGAATCATAAAAGATCATGGAAAATTTCAAATTACAATTACATATTCAATTCTTTGCGTTTATTTTAAAAGCCCATAGATACTTGAAGAAGTATTCGAGATGATGAGATTCAAATGTCAACCGATACAAAGCATACGCAATATTTCCTATAATACACAGCATTTATATGAAAACCCAAATATCTTTACATGATTTCTTTGAATAACCAAAACCATGTGTTATGAATATACTCAAATCAAATGTTTGCATCACCGAGAAAATCCCTCCCATTCTTTTAAAATTTTTAAGTGATCGTTAGTAACGTCTTTCTTATTCATTTGTTCAAATAATCAATCTTCATTTCCTATCCTTTCCTAAGAATTGATTTGTATGAAAATGAAAATTCATTTTGTCGATTGGCGCTATTAGAGAGACTTGGTTTGATTGATAAAGCCGTACACCAATGCCACGCTTGACTTGGCTATACCCTTTAATAATAATTTGATTACACCAACAAATTAAGAAATCTTCCTACCAAAATTTATCATTAGTAATTTTCCCGCGTGAACCAACTAGGTTGTTAGATAATTAATACATGTTTGCTAATGTAGTTATTAACCCAATTGGGTTTTTGAATTAATTGTATCTTATGCTTATGGTCCAATATCGCAACGATAGCGATGCTGCGTAAGCGTTGGGGCATTAACGTTGGAGACCCGACGTGACAGACCTAATGCTCGAAAATTCCAAGGTGAAACAATGGAAACCTAACTCAATGCTCAAGTAATAACGCTAGAAATTCTACACTGCAAATGGGATGATGGAGGTCTCCAACGTACTGGTAAACCCGAACGTTCACTTTGATCACCAGACTTGAAATTGTCACGTCCTAGCTTATACAGCGTCAGAACCAACCTCCAGCAAGGTAATTCCAATGATTCAGTTGCACTTGCAGAGATATATTTTCTCTTGCGCGCAAGTGTTTTTTAAGCGTTTGAACAACTTAAGATATACGAGTGCTCCAATGTTAAGCTCACTCTTTTTTTCCATAAAGAAAGTTTGAGCCCACGTTATTAACGGTCTGTCTGTTACGTTCTTAGCAAGTATAAGATAATGCAGTTTTTGCTCTAATACGTTAGAAATTAAATGGATCATTTTTATTTTTATTTGAAATTCGTTAATCGGTACTGTATTAACCGCTTCAAATATTTAATGCTTATAATTGTATAGAAAAGAAATCGTACTCACAAGTAGGTGGACAAAGAGGTACAACAACAATCTCTTACTTTCTTTTTTAGTTTATATATGAGTAATTAATCAATTTTTCTGTCTCTCTGTAAAATTAAAATAGCGGCGAGGCAAGGAACAAGCGAAACGCGAAACAAGCTCACAATTATGAGGCTTTAACTTTGTATAAAGAAATTTTGAAAGCGTCATCTGCATACGCGTGGACACACACACACACGCACACACAAACACACACACGTACACACATATGAAGTATGTATTTGTATATATACATATACATAGAATGCGAGTAAATTTGCTCCGTGGCTTTTGATCTCGTCAGTGTTGACTTATATAACCAT